TAAAGTTGTCGTAAATTAAAGGGTAGATGATTGAATGCTATATCTTTTTGAAACTAACTTGATTTCAAAATTTTGTATCAGAATAATTTTTCAATTCTTTATCTAAATTTACTACTTTTTTATAGGTTGCTGGCAATTTTCATATCGCACCAGGTGATTCACTGCGAGCACATCGATCTCACCGTAAGTAAATAACTATTACTAGATTAAAGAAGGTTCAGGTATATTCATTGTTGGTAAAAGTAGCAGCACATTGCTATTTTATTTATTTCGAGAGTATCTATGAAACCTATCTTTTTTAGTCCATGACTTACACTCGCTTTCTCCTTCTAAATTCAATACAAGTCACATTATCAACCATTTTTCCTTTGGGAACCCGTTTCCAGGAAAAGTTTATCCTCTCGATGGACAGTTTTTTGGATCTTCCAAAAAAACAGGTTGCTTGAAAAACTTTTTTTAATAAATTAAAATTCAGCTGCTTTTTGTAAAAAATTAATTATGACTTGAGTTTATTAAATATGATGTGTCCTCAGTTAATTTGCAGGTGGTATTATGTATCAGTACCATTTAAAGTTAGTGCCAATTTCATACGTTTTTCTGGATTCTACTCGAAATATATTCAGCCATTTATTCTCAGTCACTACATATCAAAAAGATATATCATTAGGAGCATCTGGTTTACCTGGTTTTTTCGTACAATATGAGTTTTCTCCGTTGATGGTAAAATACGAAGAGAAGCAACAGTATGTTTCATTAATATTGCAGTCAGTTTCAAGTTTTAGCGCAATACTTCTATTAGAAAGGGTCATGTTTTGAAAGCATTAAGGACGTTTTGAAAGAAACTTATGATACCGATAGAGTTTTTCTGAGGAGAATGCCTGTATTTGTTTGCACTACGTTTGTATGATTTCTGTTATAATGCTCAAAAAAATAGTCGTAGAACTTATTTTCTTTCGAGGCAATTCTCGGAAATACTTTATGAAGAAGAACTTGAAATGATCGTTAATAAGTCATCTGACAAATTGTTAGCAAATCAAGAATGAAAAGTTCCATTTTATTTTCAGGAAACTTTCACAATTTCTCGTTTCGTTGTGTGCCATTATCGGGGGAATTTTTACAGTTGCAAGTTTGATCGATTCATTAATTTATCGGTCTGGAAGAATAGTCCAGAAAATCACGCTAAATAAATACACGTAGCTTTTATCAAATGCATAGTTTAGAACCTGTTTCGATAGTATGTTTAATTTTATGATTTCTTGTGAATAGGCTAATGTCAACTTGTTTGCTTTGTTGAAATTTTTAAATTTCAAAGTCTTATATCAATTAAATCAAATGTTCCTGTGTAATTGTGATCTAATTTGAATTATAAGATCAGAATTATATTATCTGTAATTTTTTTTGTTTCAAACAACACTTCATTTTAACTCTTCTTAAAAATTAAACAAGTTATTGGTTGTGGCGGTAGACTTCTCGTCATGAAAATGATATGGCAACATATTTCTCAGTTTCATATGACTTTCAGGACATCTAACTTTTGGGACATTTTTGTGAAACAGCGTTATTTGACAAGAAAAAGTTCGCAATTTGTTTCTATTTTTACGTCCTTGTTTTTCTCTTGTTGTGAATACTGAAACACCATCATTTACGAATAGTAGATTTTCCATTACTTCTCGTAAGATTTTAACTTTTTTTTTGGTGTTTATAGTACAAACTATCTAAGTAGTACATAACAAACAGTACTGATAGATTTTATAGCACTGTAGTCTGTTCATATTTAATTAATGAGTTAACTTCGGAAATGTTGCATAAGAAAAATGAAAAATTATGGTGCATACTTTGTTGCTTGTTTATATGAATCGAATGTTTATTTTGCAGTGTAGAAATCACTTCTTCAAAAATTCAAATAAAAATTTCTGAGAGTTTTAGTTTTCTGGCTCTGTTAATAGTTTTAGAAAGCAATTTTTCTTTGAATTTCCGTCTTATGACAGTTATTAAAAAGTGGTGGGTTTCATTTATAATTTTATTACCAATAGATGTAAGTTTTATTTTTAATGTAGTGTGCCTTATTTAAACTGTTGTCAAATAAAGCTTGACAAAAATTCAGATAAGGTTCATTAGTTTCATTCTTTTTTTGCTCATTTCCGTAGGTGCAGCACTATGAAAATATCTGGTCAATACAGTGTTGGCTGCAGGCATACTTTGTTTAAAATTTCTTTTCAATGAATTCTTCGCAGAAGAATAAACATGCTTCTAACGTATCCATTGCAAGGGAATTTCAGACGTATGTCAGTGGGTTCTTTTGGTATTTGGTCTTGACCAAATATTGTATGAATAATTGAACCTTGTTTCATCGAATAAAAAAAGACATTTCGTTGCACATTTCGCTCCTCAAAGTAGTTACTTTTTTGGGATCAGATGAATTTTTACATTTATAACCTGAAGTTCCCCTCTGCATGATTATATCATCTTTCATTAATTGCTATTGAAAATAATAGTTTTCATATTCATGTTTTTCTTTTTGCAGTTGTGATTTGGTATTGGTTTGTTGAGTAAATGGCGAATGTCTATCACAGTTTATCAGTAAATAATAAGTATTCTTCTTCATATCCATTGCGAAGGAATTTGGGACGTGTGTCAATAAATTGTTTTGTGACTTGGTCTTGTCCAAAAACTGAATAAATGATTGAACGTCGCTCCATCGAGTCTTTGTCGTATTCTCCAACAATCTTTAATTTTAAATTTTATTTGTTCATGGTTTGTTTATTTTTTATTAGGACAGAAAAGTGTATTCAAATTTAAGGATAGAAATTATGTTTAAGTGAGTCATTCTCAATCAGTGTGATAGCGAACTCGTATGGTCAAACGTTACTTTATATAAAATTAAATATAAATCTTAATTTATTTTCCTTATTGGCAAGTTACGTATGGGATTCTTGATATTCTGACTATTTTTGTTTAGATGCTTGTGGAGTGGTTGAATTTCTTGACTTAGTTATTCAACTATTCTCCAGTTTCTGGAATGATTTACTGATACCTGTTCCATTGATAGACCACATATTTGAGATAATGCTACTACACCAACCATAGGGAGCTGAAAATTCATGAAGTCCATTGCTGAATACTGTATAACTGTTTCAGTAATTTAACTAGTAGTGTATTTCAACGAGTGCCCACTTATTTCTTTGTTAATTATTTCCTTAAAGTATATAAATAGTAGCTAATTTTAAGTTTTTTAACAGCTATTATCAAAGGATATTTTATTGATGAGCATATCAGCAAAATATCTTACAGCGGCAAATTTAGCAACTCTCAAAGAAGCTGTGAATTTATCTTCACATAGTGCGAGCTCCGTAGTTGCGTGTCCATGCTCGAGTAAGCAAAGTAGAATGCCATTAAAAATGATTACTAATAATAAGGTTCCACAGCTTGTTGAGATTGCGCACCAAATAAAAGTTTCTGTATCCATCACTGTTGCTGTTCTTATTGCTCAGATACAAGTTTCTGTGTACAATATTACAGAATCATAAACTTGAATATTTATTTCTGATTAAGAGTCAGATATTATATCCATATATTTCTGTTATATTTCTTTTTCTTTTTTTTAAAAGATAAAATCTGGTTATACTAGCTAATGTCAAATAATTTTTATACCACTCACTTTTGAAAGAAGCTGCTTAGCAAATTATGGAAGCAACCACTCACTACAAGTTTGAATAAACTAGGCATCTAAAATAATTTTTGTCAAGTACCATACCAATTTGTTGATTTCATGTAAATTAAAAGTTACAAATTTTTTCTTTCAGTATTTTTGTATAAAAAATCCTGCTTGAAATTTGATTTCTTTTTTTCAAAAATTATTTTTTAAAATTGGTACAGAGTTTTTTGGTACTCTGTCTTTTTTATCACTGGTATCAGACTAAGATTTTTTCTTCGAGTTGTACAAAGTAGTTAATCATCTAATATATTTAGCTTAACGAGAGACATAGATTTTGTTGAAAGTTATT